GACACTGCCCGGTCCTGCAACTGCTCACAGCTCTTCTTATGTTCGAGCTCCTGACTGCAGCCAATGTGCCAACCCATCCTGTCCCGGGCCATCCTCTTTTTTACCGCCCCTCTACTTTACCAGGCATAGTGTCTCTCCTGACAACATGTCCAGAGTACACGAGACAAAGTCTGGCCATCTTTGCCTCTAAGGAGCATGATGGCTGTGCTTCGTCCATGACAGATTTGTTGGTTCTCTTGACAGCACAAGGTAGTTTCACTATTCTTCCCCAGCACCACAATTCAAATGCATTGATTCTTCTTCAATCTTCCTATTGAATGTCCAACTTTCATAAGCATATGAAGCAATTGAAAATACCATAGTCAGGCACACTCAATCCCTTAAAATAACATCCTGGATTTTCAACCATAGAGGTCTTGTGCAGCAGATTTACCCAATGCAATGCATTCTTTGATCACTTGACAATTGCTTCCATTAGCATTGATGAAATCCTTGACAACTTCAATTTTCTCTCTCTTTACCATGATGTTGCCTATTGGTCCAGTTATGAGGATTTTTATTTTCTTTACATTGAGTTGAAATCCATACTGAAGACTGCAGTTCTTGGTCTTTGCCAGAAAGTACTTCAAGTCCTCCTCACTTTTAGCAAGCAAATTTGTGTCATCTGTATAACAAACCTTTCTCCAATCCTGATGCCACGTTCTTCTTCATGTAATGCAGTTTCTCGGATGAACATTTTAGAGATTCGGGGATGTTCAACAGCAAAGAATCAGTGGGTACTTCCTGACTCAAAATAGAGTACTGAGGAATGACATTTCTAACACGAACACTGAATTGTGTTATGATCATGTCACATCCAAACAACACACACGGTGCAGACTGCCCTCTCAGAACTATGAAGAGTAAGCATGCTGACTTTACATTCTTTCAATGTCAAGGTAGTCACTAATGAGTCATGATGAATAACAAGTGTCTGGGGCAATAATTGTGTCTGATCACAAACCGATGGCTTCATTATCAACCAAAGCAATGCTTTATGTTGTGTAAAGGATTTTAAAAACCCTACCAGACTAAATAATTAAATGTTTGTTTTGGGGTGGGGGGAAATATATTTTATTTAAAATATTAATGTTTTAGAGATTTGGCAATGTTTTGACATGAAAGAATATAATACACTAAAACTAGAGGAATCTAAAATGTATGTCTCATTTTTAAAATCAGAATGACCAAATCAGAACATTTTGAATGGAAAAAAAAAAAAGGTACTGATAATTATGACTGGAGGACAGCAGATGTGAACTGGGATTATTCCAAGCTTTTATTCATGATAAAAGCTACATCAACAAATCTCAATATTCTTTGGTCTATTAATTTTTCTTTGTATTTTCTTGATTTGACAATCTGCATAGTTCATTATATGCATGTAATGGAAAGGAAGGCTGTCTCTAATATCCACTCTACACAGATTCAGTGATATTATGCCCCTGTGTGGCCAACCAGCACAGCAAATTCACTGTCACATATTCAGTGACAAAGAAATAGATACATTTAAAGAAGATACAGATCACTTCATTGTTTAAGAAAGATGGCTAAATCAGCAAATGAAAATACACAGAGGATGCTAAGTCCGTTTCCCATAACCATAATTTAACATACATAGTAATTATTACCATGTGCACTTGTACACGGCCCAAAGCAACCCATTACTCAATGCGTAGGGAGAACTCTGCGGGAAACGTGCCTCCAGCATCCCAGTCTTCCTGTTTGCTTCCCAAGGCAAGAGCACGCGTTAGATTTCATAATGAATTCAGGACTTGAGGACTTTTTACTTCAACAAAAGCAATTATCTTTGTGTACTGATTAAATAATTTAAGAAAAATTAGTTTACTATATAAAGGCTTGATAATAGGAATTTAAATTAAAATGGTATTTCATCAAAATCTATCAATTGAGCTTATGAGGGGAAAGAGGGCAGATACTGGGGGGCGGGGGGGGGGGGCTGGATCTACAGTTGGTCCACAACTTGCCACTTCCCTCATGTCCTCCACTGGTACCCAGAACCCTACTGGTGCAAGATACAGCGAACAACAATTAGAAACAAAACAGTTGTGCTATAGGGTTTCAACATAAAAGTCTGAAAGAATCAAATTATTTTCACTCAAAAATAAATTTTGATTATATATTAGGTAATAAAACAGTTAACCAACCCATATTAATCTCCAGTTCCACAACTATGATATGTAAATATTATTGGTATATTTTAAATCTTTGTTCCTTTGGCAAGTTAGAGTTTGAGCGTTTTTGTAGCGATTATTGGGAGTCTTACCTTTCATGGATAACACATCCGAGAAATAAACTGTCCTACCATCTTAAACCCTGATGAAAGTTAAGTTACAGACTTAGGATTAAAATTAGCTACCTGGAAGGTCCCCTTCTATGAATATATGGTCTGCCGTCAATGCATAGTACTATTCCTCTAGTGACTTCTCCTGAAACGCAGTTGAAAAAATGTATACTATTATTGTCCACCTCTATGAGGCTTTGTTCCATCAGTTTAGAAAAAAAAGACAAAGCAAACATGGAGCATGAACATTTTAACTAGTCCAGTGGTGTTAGTTATATAATTAATGTTTGAAATGTTCTAGACCATGAATGTCCAATCCATGAAACTGAAGGGTCTGTTGCTTAGGGGAAAAGAACATAAAGTGGTTGTCAAAACATGTCTTCTAATGACATATTCAGATCATGTTTACCGATTTTTTCAAGAATTAATTTTTAATTGATATTTTACTTTTTAAGTAAAATATGTTAAGGAAATGTTAATGCCTATGCCATTGTTTCAAAAAATGAGAGCAGAATAGACCCATTTTAAAGGGGGACTGTATTTGACCTGAACCCAAGAAATCGCCAACATACAACTATGTACCCCAAAAGAAAAAGAACCCACTGCTTTCAAGTTGATTCCAACTCATAGAAATCCCATCGGACAAAGTACTGCAAGTTCATAGACACTTATTTTTCACTTTTTATACTTCTAATAAAATACTATTTATATCACTGGCTTGACTGGTTTTATAAGTAAATCAAGCAGTGGATTATTTATAAAAATCTGTAAATCTATTTGTGTAAAAAAACATATGCTTTAAAAGACGAATTAGTTATGAACAAATAAAGACAGGGCTTTTCTCCTAAAGAAGGATAAATTCTTTTATTGATTCATTAACATTTTAAAATAATTGTAGCTAAGAGAATCAAAGTAAGATAATCTGGCTCTTATGAAAGTTATAGAAATTCTATAATTTAATGTTTCATTATAGTAATATAAAATTCCTGAATATTTTAATGGCACTGAAACTATAGGTGTGTCAATAATAAAAGAAACTTGAAGTCTGGGACATAGTTATAGGAAAGTACACAGTTTCTGTAAAATACATATATCTTAAAGTGAATAACCAACCCTATTGGTAGGACAATTTCAAAAGTGATTAGACACTCATCCCTAATGTTAATATTTATCAGCACTTAAATTCTGACATTAAAAATAGGTATTGAAATAAAACTAAAAAGAGATTCACAAGATTTGAGTACAAATGCTGAAACTCTGGTAGCTTCAAGTCATGGAAATTTTTAGAAACCATACTGCCTCTTTTATTTTAATATAACATGGTTCAGAATGTTTTTCGTCATAAAATACAGGCACTCTAGCCAACTATTAGAAAATCAAAAGAAAATAATATCTTATACTATAGGTAGCCTATTATAAAATTTCCTAACATTCTATGTTTCCTAACATTCCATGTAACGTTCCATAAAATATAAAAATATTATATATTTTAATACATCTAAAAATTAAATATGGCCAGGTAAGTTACTTAAGTGAATCTCAACTGCAATGAGGAAAATCAGTGAAATGCTTTTTAAAAAAATAAGAGATGGTATTCCATATTTAAAACAAAGGTCAAAAATGCATTTTCATCAGTAAACATTTTAAATGCCAACCTATTCAAAGCTTCCTCTTCATTTGCTAAATACAGATAAGTACTATATCATAGGTATTTTTTAAACTCTAAAATAAGCTGGCTCAGATTGCTCGGAGATCCTACAAGGAAGACCAGCCAAGCCATTCAATATTTGATGCACTCTTAATTCTCCCTCAATACCAGAAGATTTCAGTGCATTCTCATGTTCAGTGCATTCTCAATTTCTTTCTCAATCTTCAGCCACATATATTTAGTAAAGATGAGGTATTTTCTTTACTAAGTCTCTAACATTAGAAATTCTCAAAAGGCAAGCAACTTACACGAGGAAGAACTGGGTGACAAAATTGCATTGTAAAAGCCTTCTTTAATAGAATTTCTCTTTTTAGTATAAGCCAGAGGAACCATCAAAACATATGTTCATAATTTAACAACCTCTACCACACACACACACAGAATCTGACTGAACAAGCAATAGGAATTTATAACAAAGAATACTTCCACACTAGCCACCCTGAAAAGCATTATTAATAGTTCCAGAGCATAGGTTATTTAAAAGTGATTATTGCTCTACCCTGCATAGAGATATGTCTTAGACCTGAAAAACATCTTCCGCATGTAGTCTACAAAGAGCATGCATGATTGCTAATTCGCAGTTTCCAACAAATCACATACGACTATGTAGACCCATCCCTGCATATGTAATGTAATCACTGCCAGGGCCATGAAAAAAAACAAACAGCTATCAGACATTTTAAGTTCATTTTCATTATTAGAAGATGAAAAAAACCAAAAAGGAGACAACCTTTCAGAGGTCACACGAGTTAAATGTAAGATGCTTTTTAGGCCTGAAGTAAGCTGCTTCTACTTGTTCACGTCAAATGAAGAAGATACAATACAAAATGTTACATTGCTTTTCAAAACCCGACAAGCATTTCCATGCTGAACGGTTTTCACAGACAGAAAAGGTTATCATCCTGAAAATATCAACACTGAAATAAAATACAGTGCAGCTTTACTCACCGTGCATTGGTCAGCGTTTGTCCAAAAAGCTCGTTTTGTAAAATATTTGGTGGGGAGGAAAAAACCCCATGGAAATGAGATAAAACAGAATTGCAGACCTGGCGCAATGTCTCAAATTGCATTTTCTTTTTTTTCCCCTTCTCTTATTTTTCCTTACCACCTGTCTTTAAAGTCCTCTATTTGCAGTCACCATCAAATAAAAACATGCCAATCAAGTTCCATATTTCTCCTGGTCTCTGTAAAAACTGTGCTTAAATGAGCAGAGGTTGGTAGTTAATTGTACAGTCATTATTCTTCTAATTCCGCCGTGGAAGAGTCAGTACCATGCAGCTTTCGGCTTTCTCCTGACTGTAGCAAGAATTCTAAGCAGCAGTGAGCTCTGGGGGCATTCCCAGCTGAAGTGTGAAGCGGAGCTGCTCTCATGTACTCTACTCATATTTCTCCACGCCTATTAAAAACACGCAATGAAGAGATGCTGGCGTCAGGAGTTTCAGCACATCTGGCTGCCAGCAATCAAATCTCAGAAGTCATAAAAACGGGACAAGATATCTTCTCAATGGTACTACTGGGTAAGAGGAGGAGAAATTATGCATCTCCCCAACCCTTTGCTCTTTCTCTGAAAAAATGATTGACTCCAGCAACACAGCATCTAGGTCTCTCTAGTGTGCATGCAGGCTACTGCAGAGCATCAGAGACCGGGTGAAAAATTAAAAAGGGCAGTATATCTTTCTTCTGAAAACCTGAAGCAATAAAAGTATGCCAGGTGATAGGCTTTTGATTGCCTGCGTTTATAAAGCCATACCTCTAAAAGGGCATTTGGAAAACATGGGATTACTCATCTACATTTCACACTGAATTTTTCATGTCCTCACTTGCTGTTGTTGTTAAGGGAATACTGTCCAATCTGGATCCTTTCTAAAGGTCCTACAGAGTAGCTACATGAGAACGCAAGTAATTTTTTAAATCACGATACCTTAGAAGTTTAAAATGAGCTTACTCCACACACAGTAAATACAAACCGCAAAATCACAACTAGGGGCCAGGAGATCTATCAATGCTCATGAATTTATTTAATAGTGGTGGTTAGAGGAAGGAACAGAATAAAAGAGGATTTTACTAAAGGCTCCAATAATCTCTGAGTACCTAAGATCATGCATGGCCCTTTCTTAATGGATAATAACTCCAGGGACTGAAATCAAGTTTTTCTCTACCCAGGTGCATTCGTATTTCTATAAAAGATGCTCTAAAGGCCACACGTAAACCGAACTTTTAAGATCAACTCATTGTCAGAGATGCTTGATATTTTTCACTTGGTTTGAATAACTCCTTCTTCAACAACTCTATTCCTGTAGGCCTTTCTTTATCTCAAGTCTTAGCTTTAACCCCTTCATCTCCTTCCACACACATAATACTGTCGATATATAAGCCCTTTCCTACACTAGGACGTTTTTTAAACTGGTTCATTCTTTTGTGGAATGATAAAGATATGTAATGATATAAATTTATAAACTATTTATTTCTTGGATAAACAAAGACATTCAATTATAGGTTTGTCCTCCACTAAGAGTACCCCGAATCTTGACTATTATCTCCAAACATGCGCGTCTATTTGTCCAACATAGATGTATACCTGTGTAACTACTTAGTTTGAGATTATAAATATCTTCTGCTCTTTCGTCCTATCCAGAAAATGCTGTGTGCAAGCATTAATGTTGTTACCATTTTAGAGGTGAAAGTAAATGGATGTTTAAAGGAGTTAAAGCTGACACATCTTGTAAGAAGTAGAACACATGAAGGCTGGTCTTCGGATTCCATTTCCTCTGGTCTTGCCCCATCATTCTACCTTGTATAGACGGGCACACGTATGTCCCCCATGGCCCCCTGCCACACACACACACACACACACACACACCTATGCCTGCCAGTCACATGCACTGGAATGCACTTCGGATTCCATTTCCTCTGGTCTTTCCCCATCATTCTACCTTGTATAGACGGGCACACATATGTCCCCCATGCCCCCCCACCACACACACACACACACACACACACACACACAACTATGCCACCTGGATAGGAAAACTTCCTGCTGGCGGCCTCATCAAGGGACTGGGTGAGAGAAAATGTCTCCAAATTGTTAACTCGGCAATTCCAAATAGGTCTCTTCCATTTAGCTCACACAGAACCAACTGTGTATGCTTAAATTATGAAGTCTATGATCACAGATTGATTTTCCTACGTGGTAACATGCACGTTTATTTTGTTTTATTTTCAGGTAAATATCACAGTTTATACAAGTGTAGTGTGTGCGCATGCGTGCGTGCGCGTGCATGCACGCATTCCACCACTTCCCCGATTCAAAAGCCTTTTGAGCCAAGTATGTTAAATAAGAAGATGATTATAATACTGAAAAATACTGTCAAGATTTTGCTTAAAAATGTTTTTCTTCCCATAGATCTCAATATTGGAGCTAAAGGTAATGCCACGGAAAGAGTTTCAGAAACATTCTATATGATGAAAATAACATTGGAAATAAGACTCAAAATGACTCCTTTGAAGGATCAACAATATTATTGCCTTCCTCAGCCCCGGGGCTTTATTTCTCCCTCTCTCCTCATGCAGTACTAGCCCATTTCTCTCTGCTCCCTCAAGCCCCTGGACGTGATTTATTATACCTCCCCATCGTACTACCTACCACCTTTCACCTGCACCTATTCATCCTTAGGACTCAGAGGTCCATGTTCTCAAGAAGGATTTTTCTGACCTAGATCTGCTCCCCAGTTATCAACTCTCATTTTACTCTGTACTTACTTCCATGTGGGTGGAACCCACATTCTCTCATATTTACCTAGGAGAGAGGTTAGTACAGAATAAGTACTCAATAGATATTTGTTGAACGAATGGATGTCTACAATTTATTGAGAAGTTCATTATTTTTAATCACATATCATAGAGGGGATATGAAGCAATTTGCTATTTTCTGAGTTGTTATGGGCGCTTTGGGTTTGCTTTCAATTTAGCCTACCAAATTATTTCAATAAACTCATAATAACAAGAGTCACCAATATCTGCACTTAACAACCTAGTATTTTGGATGGGCTTTGCAATTTTGTGTGTGAATACCTTGAGTATTACAAATAATGTTTAGGGCTCACATTTGTTTTACTTTTCTGTAGAGCCTGGGCTCATAAGTAACAAGAACATTTGAGGTGCCTACAATGCTTCAGGATACCATAGTATACAATACATCTGAGTTGTGGTTTCTTCAAATGTAAAGTAAGCTGCATTGCATACTGCACATAGTTATTATTGCGAGTATGAAAACAGGGATGTACACAAATGCACTTTAGAAAGTCTGAAGTGCATATTTATGAACTTCACAAGGAATCAAATTACTTGGACCAGAATTCTAAAAATTTGGTATCCTTTATTTATCTTATTTATTCATTCAACAGATATTTATAGACTTCTTGTTGCAGGCACTGTTCTTTAGATGTGAAGGGGAAGCAACATTCACTCGACCCTGTTCCTGGAAAGTAAGATGAATCCTGCATGTCCTTCTATAACATCAGCTCCACATGTGCATTACTGTGTTTTTACACAAATAACACGCACCTTCGACATCTGATTGCCATCGCTCCATCCCCAAGGAAGGTATTTCCCTTAAGCACCACTATGCCTAGTGCGTTTACAAACAATTTCTCCAGGAGGGCGGTGGCAGTTGGCAAATGAGAGTAGAGAGCAAGTGCTACCTGGGGTGGGGGTAGGGTTGCAGAGGCATTGACTCTCACCGAGGTGACCTTCTCATATCCAGACAATTGGTTCCCTGTGGCTATCATAGTGGAATAGCTGGAACCTCGTTGGAAACAGCAGTGCTTTATGAGGATTCCCACAAAAGAAGTATTAAGAAATGTTTAGGAGTAAAGACAATTTCATTAAAACTGTATTTAAAAATTCAATCAATATATGTAAGAGTTCAATCTAAAATAATCAAAAATATTCAAATAAGAACAAATGATATACTATAAATTTGCCTCTTATAGTGACAAAGTATTGGCAGGGAGAACAGAGAGTGAGTACTCTTGTACCATATGTATTGGTAGATGTGTTCACTGATGCCACCTTTCCAAATATATGTTTCCAAATGTATATTTGGATATATATATATTCAAAATCTCTAAGAGAAGGCTAAAAGATTATACACCAAAATATGCTGCAAATTTTAAAAGGGGAAGCACCTTTCAGACAATTGTTAGAACTATAATTATGTTGGTAACTATACCCAACCAAGCTAGTGAGAACATTTATGGTCTGGGAGCCACCAAGTGTAAAGCGAGTTCCTCTTGGTGATTAGTGGCTCATTCCCTTTAATTGGTTTTTCTGTAAAGGAAATAACTACGTTTGAACACACTCAGCAGGGCCTTAGAAAAAAGGCTTGGTACTTATTTCCAAACAGTCAACCACTGGAAAACCTAGGAAGCATCGTTTATTTCTCACACACACGGCTCAACATCAGTTGCAATCAACTCAACAACAACTGGCATTTTGGGTTATAAATCTTTCTTTTCAAAGATCATAAAAATATCCACCAGGAGATAGTAAATAAACAAAGAAGCCAACAGATGATGAAATTTCTAACAAGAGGAGGAGAGATAGGTAGTGAAAGGTTTGGGGGGGCAGAGGGGGAACAACTCAATTAAGTCTGGTTTATACAACTGAAGGACACAAGAGAGAAAGAATAGACCAGACCTAAGTGTGCAAATCTGTAAATCTAATGATAAGTAGTATAATAGGGCTTCAAATTGTCCACGGAAAGACTCTATCCTCTTTTAATTCCATTTTTTCCACAAACTTTTTGAAGTCTCATCATACATTTTATACTATCAAAAATTCAATAATAAGCAGAAAGTGTTACATTCTACACTACCTACAGCAATTTTCATGCTTTTTATAATATGTATGTTTAAGTTGTACTGATTCTCAAATGTCTTCTGATGTACACAAAAGTGTTTGCAGTACCATTATTTCCCAGGGCTTGCACACTTGTATCTGCCTCTAATTGCCCCCACTGCTGCAGGACACACTGGAAACACAGTGCCTATCACCTAATTAGAAAAGAAAAGCGGGGGTCATGGTGAAAGGCTCTACAAGGGAGCAAAGCGCCACTATTATTATTCCCCTGTGCTTGGCGCTGGCTTTGTTCTTCTGAGCGGCATTAGGAGCTTACTGCAGCAGTCCTGTGCCAGAGCTGTCCATGCCAGCACAGTTCCCACATCCTAGAGTTGGCAACAGAAGGAGTAGCTTTCCCATTGGATGTAAGAATCAGGCTGTTGATTACCAATTCTAGATTGTAGCTCCAGAGCAACAATCCCAGAGAAA